ACTCCAATCAGTGGCATATCCAGTATAGAAAATATACCGGTGTCCGCCCCCCCCCTCCGATTGATGGCTCAGAAGAAAAAAGAAATCAATTTTCTTTGTATGTCTTGTGTTTTTAAAGTATACGCGGATTTGATCAGGTCCATCTTCCAGACTTTAATATAGCCATATGCAATTTATAGTCATTGTAGTCTGGAGTATATTGGGCCCCTTTTTTAAATCAATTTCTGGCTTCGCCACGGGCTTAGCATCATACACACGAGAAAACGACCTTGTAACTCACAATGTTTTCATAACATAATCCTGTAGGAACTAACGTATTACTTGGTCAGGAAATTATGGAATTATCCTTCCATTTTTTTTTTCATTTCCAAACATAAAATGAAACAATATAACATGTTGACATGGGCAGGGCATGGTTGATTATTGTACTTATTTAAACCAAAAATACAAGTTATTTCCTTAATTTCACAGTGGAAAGAAAAACAAATGAGCTGGCCTTATAATCCATGGAAACCACAAAATCAACATTAACATTTTCTTATTAACAATCTTATTGATACATATATTTTATTTGTTTATTCACTTAATATGCAAGCATCATACAGTCCGTCAAATTTACGAAATTAATTGCCCATGTCAGTCAAGCTGGAATTGATAACTTTGATTGATTTCTTAGATTTGAACAAAATAATTGGAAACGAATTGATATGGTAGGAAATCTAAAATCTTGTGAAAGAAAGCGTAGACACTGCTCTGACCATTCTGAAATTAAATTCATGTTTGGTGTATGACTCATAAAACTGCAGGAGTACTACTGTTTATATTGTTGGTAATGTCGTTAGATAGTTGTTACTCCCTGGGTTGATTTTTTTTTTTACTTGAATTGATTTAATCTTGAACTAGCCACGATGACTGACACAATCTAAACATAATCATACAGCTTACTCACAAAAAGACCTTGAATTCTGGCTCACAATGTACATATACCTGGGTAATGTTGATAATGTAAACACATATTGGAAGTGTTTTTTACACGACAATTTGTGCCGCAACAGGATTAGATCCACTTTTATAATAGACATTTGTCAATTATTTAAAATAATAATAAAAATTAATAAAAAAAAAAGAAATGTATATATCACATTTTTTCGTTTTTCCTACAAGCTGGGAAAATATTCCTAATAATATAAGTAGCCTTCAATAACTTATGTATGATAAGAAAAATAAACGTAGAAAATTGTGTGAGATTAGAATCTCCTACATGTCACATAATATTATGCATTATCAGGATATCTCTACCCACTCTATAGCCTATTGGGTGTATGTAGTAAACATCATGATGAAAATGTGAACTCATGCTAACAAAAAGAGTTTTGCGAGCTTGCTTCGCTGTTTTACTTTTTTTTTTATGTACACGATAATAGCGATGAAGAGTATGGCAACCCGTGGCATACTATAATTTTTATCAGCATGGTAACTGTCATCAACTTCAGAATAAGGAATAGCCATTAAAATCTCGCTTCTTACGAAATAAAACGGCACAAAAGGATTGTAACATATTCAGTGGTAACAAACATAAACCAATGTATTTGATACTGCTAAAGCTTTGCATTCAGACTATGGATGCTTAATCTGTCAGAGGCATTGCCGCTATCTCGTACAAAATGTGTTTTTCGCGGGATATTAAATCAGTTGTATTTGACTTAATTTAGTTTTTTTCTAATCAAACTTAGAGTAATTAACCCACTGCCACCACCGTCCAATTTGTGCTTGAGCAATATGAAATGCTTCCTTGTATCTGCTGATAGTGCGTAGGTCACACTTCAAATTGGAAATTTATTGGCTCCCGATGTTTCAAATTCCGGCGGGTAAAGTTTTTGAAGAAAATATCGTCTGTACTCTCAATTTCCTGCATAGCTTCTCCCTAGATAATAACCATACTGGCTGCCCCTGGTTACTCAAATACATGATTTACTGAGTTTGAATTCAAGTAAATAATCTAAAGTACATGAAAATGAATCAACATAATAACAAAAGCGATGGAAAATAACAACTATTTCTGTTCAGTGAAATACAATCATGTATATCCCCTCAGATTATTTTCATTAATATTATGATCGTCGAATCAATTTGAGATGGTAACACTCTTCTTTTCTTTCGTTTTGGCCACGATGAAAGTCCGTTATAAGGACTGTTTTCCTTTATTGCTTCTCAGTATCAGGCCAATATAATCACTAGCGCCATGATCATTGCAGGACATGAATCGGGATATTCAACCGGATAGTTTCACCATATTTCCCGGTCGACTGGGTAGATTTCTAACATTCTACACAAACCACCAACAAAATTGATATTTCAAGACAAAGGAAGAGCGGGATAGAGAGAGAGAGAGAGAGATAGAGAGAGAGAGAGAGAGGAGAGAGAGAGAGAGAGAGAGAGAGAGGAGAGATGAGAGAAAGTCACATAAGTGGTAAATAAAAAAATAAATATCTAAATTTGTTTAACGGGATGCAAATCGGACCAACATGAGGTGATTTTCTATTTAGTTATGGCGGAAACACAGAGGCAGGATCAATTTACAGTGAACTTCCTCTTCCACCCACGCACTCACAACTCCTAGAAATGCCTTCTGCGCATGGTGGAAAACTTCAGATTATGGTTAGATAAATGATTAGATATCCAATATTAATGTTTTTATAGCACAAAACGTAATTGTATTTACCACTTGCCGTTTCGAATGATAGTACTATCATGACCATAGAAATATAATGTAACTACTGGTAAAAGACACTTGGCGTGCACCCGATGTTCTCAAGGCTCGAATGAGGAGGTGGGGGGAGGGGGGGGGGGGGGAGCATAACGACAACTTCAGGAATATACATTAAAGATTGGAGAGATAGAGAGATAGAGGGATAGAGAGAGAGGGGGGAGAGAGGAGGGAAAGGGTAGAAAACATTCTTCAGAAGCTTTTTGTAAAATATGCTTAAGTTTGTTAATCAGATTAATAATGGAAATGTCTTTTCAGTACTTTGTTTACAGAATGATAAACTGGTCCGACTACAGTCATTGTGCGACGACAAAGCCAGAAGCGACTTATCTGAATTTCATTGCTTTTTAATCAGATTGCCTTTGGTTGGTGTTATGTTGTTATCTGATTAGGCCTATTATCATTTTGCTTCTATCCATGTAGTCGGCTTCTTTAGGGAATGATATGGTTAAAGACGATTCTTCGAAAAACTTAATTCAAACGATTTCTGTGAAATTCTTCCTAACACAAAGAGAGAGAGAGAGAGAGAGAGAGAGAGATAGGGAGAGGTGTCGGGGGGGGGGTAGAGGAGGAGAGGGATATAATAGAGAGAGTAGAAAGAAATGGAGAGGGTGTTTAAACGTTAATGCGAATGACCTCCTTATAGCTTACCAAAGTATAGGTTCAATTTGAGCTCATCTATCTTTTATAAACAACTCTCTTAATAAAAACAATGTCAAGTATATCATTAAGAATACAATGGGATTTATGCATCTACGCATAGACACATATTTAATTTCAAAACACGGGTTGAAAACACTTTAGGTGTCCTCTAGTATGGATCGGAAACACTTAATAAATGATTCGATGGAATAACCAAGATACAACTAATATTCATTCATAATAGAAACAAAAATGAACACAGAGGCGTCGATATGAAGGGGGGGGGGGGGGCGGTTGTGACATGCCCTAATAACATTTTCTATAGATAAAATTTGACATATTTACAGGCTGTCGGCATATCTATATAAAGTATTAAGAAACGGTGACCCCTTTTTTCCTGCTAGTTGTTAACAAGTGTAAAACCATGTCGGCAAATTCAAAAAAAAAATCCAACAAACGTTATTTCCCTTGTTGGTGAATTTTAAAATGTTCAGCTAACTTGTCAGGAAATCGGTCCGACACCCCCATTCAAATAATCTGTCGACGGCCTTGATTAAACAATGAATATTGAAATAAAAGCCTTAGCTTGAGAAACAATCAGCTATAAAATACACTTTAAATATAGTTTCTGGCTACATGCAGCAGAGAAGAAATCATTAGATGAGAAAGTGAAAGGGATAGGATTTTATGGAAAACCCAGTTTCTTTTCAGTATAGTTAAAGTTGTCTCAAGTGTAATAAGGAAGGTAGCAACTGGCCCGGTAGTCTTTTAAGAGTCTCATTATTTTAACGGATGTTAATTCTCTTATAACAATTTGGCACGTCCTGACAAGAAGTGCCTTTCATCCGAAGTTTCTCGTATGATCACATATTTTGTTTTGTTTTGGGTTTGTTTTGAGGCGTTTTTTCGGGGGGGGGGGGGGGGAGATTTTTTCTGCTTTGTGTTTCTGTCTTTAAAAAAAGATCGTAATCAATCTTAGTGGTAATGTATGCATCATTGTTACTTTGTTTAAGAAAAAGAAGAAATCATTATTAATACCATTATAAGACCAGACCAGAAAAAATACCTATTCATTTCTAGTGATCAACACCTTTTTCAACATATACATGTAAATATACGTATCATAAACAACATAATCTAAAACTAGCTCGAAATACCTAGTTATGAAGAGACTTGCAAGACTTGAGCAACCCGGAATTGTTTATTGTATGTTTGAGAAAGTGATGTGAAGAAAAAAGATACTATGAGAGGAAAAAAAGGGATAGAAATGAGAGGCGAATATTAAACACAAACTCATTGAGATTAGTCGCGTATTAATGGGGAGACTTTCATGCATATGCCTAATATAATAGTAATATAATAATAAAGTAGTAATATTGATGTCTTCCAGGATCACGGGACTGAAAGTGGTACAATTTGAAGGTACGATTTTCATGCAGTTTTTATACATTATTTATTATGCAGTTATTACACATTATTTTTAATCTCTGGATACTAGAGTTTTGTTTGGCTTGACGCGTCTGTAAAACCATGACTATAATAACATACTATTATATAGTTCTCATGTCATTATCTTATACCCTCTTTCCAGATATCCCAAGTGCACTGTACTGCTACGTTCTCGTTGAAGCTTGTCAGCTATGCTAACGCAGCAAACCGTGAGTTAGATGGAGATTGCTGTGATACAATATGGGTTTGCCACATTGATAAGTGTGATCCAAGGTTTAATGTCTGCTTTCATAGAATCAGCGGGTAAATAAACTTTTATTTGTTTTGATTTTTCTTTAAAAGTTACTATTTTTTGTAAGTTTGTTTATGTCCTCTCACTTTACTACCTCTGCCACTACCATAACCACTCCGTGTTGATAGTATTTTTTCTTTTCTATTTACCCTTCCACAAGGTTCCTTTATTAATTATCGACATAATCATTTTTTACCAAAGATCGATTCATGCACTATCCCATGACTTGTCAAATAAATATTCAAACAATAAAATATTACAAAAAACTTCGGCCGCACAGCGACTTGTAAGATATTAATCCATATCTATAACATAGAAACGAACAAACAAATTGAACATAGACACTCAGAAACATTTTTTCACGAAATTATTTTCTTTTGATTTGTTTTTGCTGTAATCTTTCCATATCATAATAAGTTTTAGCAGTTGTATAACTTTTTTCTAACAGTGATATCTGATCTTTGCATTTGCCTGAATACATTTCTTTTTTTACAATTATTAAGATACAATTGAAAGCATTACATTGGTTTGTAAGTTTGGCCTTTATATTGGTCTTACTGAAAAACCATTGGCATTGCGCAAGTTTTGACCGTATTTTATTTGAATATGGGCGGCCGGTATTAAACAAAAATTATGCATAATTGTCTCTTCACTGCTGTTACAAAATGTACAACGTTTATCAGCAACTATCTGGAATTTCAGCAATGAATCTTTCATGTAAAGTATTTTGTTTAAAATCTTAAACTGAACCCCCTCATATTTATATCAACAATTGACTGATAGGGAATCAGACAACACGAACACCATGCTTTATCTTCTGGATCTAAACCCTTTCCATTTGTTGAGGCTGTTACATTCTTTTACATTTGATATCAAATGATGCGATACGGTTATGTTTTGTGATTTTGCAAATAAGTTTTTCTCAATTTGCTACCCTCATTGTAGCTATAATTTATAGTCTATTTTCGAACAGTTAACACTAAGGAAAAAACGATCGCAATAATTTTCGAAAAAAAAATCACCCAGGGGCGATTTCAATACCCTATTGTATGACCCATAGAAATCATGTTCGGATTACGTTTACGCAATTGTCATGTTCGCAAATTCAATAAATGACGCACAACAGGCGCGGATCCAGGATTTCTTAGGGGAGGGGGCCCAACTTACATGATTTTTTTCTCAAGGGGGGGGGGGGGGGAATGGGCCCCCTGGCCCCCCTGGATCCGCCACTGACGCACAAGGCTATTGACATTGCATTAGTATGATTAGTATGATTTTTCGAAAGTAATTGCTTTCGTATTGGAAGAATCATGGAAGGAAATCATAAAGGAGATGGTATTTTAATGCATGAAATCTATTTTGTGTATTTATTCCTATACAGTTCAAACAGCATGACAGCGTGTGATCATGGCCGAATTGAGACTAGGCTTATCAAAGACAACGGACAATCATTCTCCTTTCCTGCTGTTCTCCCATCAAACATTGCGAACCCTATTCGACGCCAAATTCCAACTTGGACGGTAATGTTATTACGTAACTTAATATCCAAATTGTATAATGTTTGCCATCAACATGGATACTGAAATACGTGTAGATAAGCAAATATATTTATAACTTGATTAATGAAACAGTTGTGCAATAAATATAAATGTATGTTATATTAGTTTGAAATTCGTTTAAAGACTATTTAATCGATTTTTGCGAATAATCGTGTACATGTAAACATGGTTAATGGAAAATAATACACTGATAATTCATTTATATTAGGACTCAGCAGCATAAAGGCTTCAAAATATCCCCCAATTTTCTCCTGATGAACAATACACTTGTACAAAGAACGAAATAATTCAGTTCTGTCCAACGGCGGATCCAAAGCGGGCAAATCGCTCCCTACCCAATAAACAAAATCACGTGAAAATCACGTCAATATCAAGGTATCGACTTGATGAGAGTTACGTTCTTCAAACACCGGACATTTACGTAAATGTGTTAATACGTTTTTTGCATTAGGTAACTTAAAACACACGTACACTAAATCACGCAATTGTCACTGCAATATCACCATTATAATAACGTGATTATCCCTACCTTGGAGACCATGGCTTGTAAACCTAATACTCCCGTGTTTGTTTGGTTATGAAATTACATCTTCATACACGAAATTATCGCGTCACAGAAACACGTGAAGCGTTAGTGATAGTTTTAGTCAAAATATCTGCGTGAAATTCACGTGAATATTACGAGGCTGACTTGAGATGAACCATGTTCTTCATTCACGTGAAATTTACGTCGAAGAGGAAATATGTTACTGTAACCCGCGTTCATCCCTGATCCCTGAACATCGTGTTTTGGATCTTCCATAATTACGTCCAGGCGCGCCGGAAGCAGTTTGGGATTACAGGGGGTTGGGTGGGGGGGTGCAAACATCCCAGAAGAGAAAGCTAGTTGCAACTGGTCCAGTTGATGAACCACTTAATGCCAACTGGTAACCCTGGAAATTGAAATGGGCTAAATGATCCAGTTGATCCAGGCCAGTTATAATTCAACTGGTCTAGCTGAGCCATTAGAACCATTTGGTAAAACTTCCAACCAGTTGAACAGCAACAATACTTCAATACTGGTACGTCTGTATTTCCAATGTAAGGGCATTGGTAATAAGTAGACTTACATAATTGAATTAAACGAAAAAAATTCGTATACTTGTACTTTATTGAAATTATTTTAGTTCACAGTTAATGTTTCCCTTATTCATGTTTAACTATTTATACGAAGTAGCGAAATGTCCTAATAACTGGTAATTTATATTTGTAGTATTTTCGAAATAAATTGCATATAACTAAATCATCAGTAATTAAGAAATATGCTGTAAATTCAGATAAATTGTTTAAAAAACATAGATCTGCACGCACCCCATATTCAATATGCAAATGAATTGGTGTCAGCTGGGTCAACTCGAAATATGCCAACGCTCAGTCATCCACTGGTGCACATAGAAATATGCCAACAGTCACGGGATTATAACCACGGAACTTAAATGGTAACTGTGAAACCATCAAGACACCCAAGAATAACTCATTTTCACACATGGAAAACACGGAATACCCAGCTTATATTAATAATCCGTTTGAGTCACGCGATCATCACCGCGGAACTGCTGGCAACTTTGACTACGATTTAAATAGGTGTTTTAAGACACCTAATCATGACTAATTTTTCACGCCTAAAAGTCACGTATGCCCAGCTTAGATTAATAATCCGTTTGAGTCACGAGATCATCACCGCGGAACTTATGGCAACTTTGACTTCCATTTAAATAGGTGTTTTAATACACCTAATAATGACTAATTTTTCACACCTAAATATCACGGATTCACAGCTTAGATTAGTAATCGGTTTTAACTACGTGATCATCACCAAGAAAGTTATGGTAACTTTGAAACCATTTAAATAGGTGTTTTAAGACACCTAATAATGACTAATTTTTCACACCTAAACGTCACGTATGACAAGCTTAGATCAATAATCCGTTAGAGTCACGAGATCATCACCGCGGAACTTATGGCAATTTTGACTACCATTTAAAAAGGTGTTTTAAAACACTTAATAATTACTAATTTTCACACCTACATATCACGTTTTCACAGCTTAGATTAGTAATCAGCTTGAGCCACGTGATCATAACCAAGAAATTTATGGTAACTTTGAAACCTTTTAAAGAGGTGTGTAAAACACCTCAGAATTACTAGTTGAATATAACCAGAGATTCACGGACAGAACAATAAGACGATTAGCCGGTGTAAATAACGTGATTATTACCATCAACCTTAGATAACCTGTGAAACCAATCAATAAAGGTGCTTACAAGACCAAATAATTACGTATTTATCGCCACCATCGGTTAACTGACAAAAAACTCGTTGCTTGGTCAAGTGGTTATTTGGTCATAAACACTTGATTTACAGAGGTAAGTGGAATCACGTTACTCCAGTCGCGTGATAAACTGGTGGTTTTTAGGTTAGATGAAAACGTGAACAGGAGTACCTTTTTTTGTTTAAATGAAGGCACGTGTCGATAACGTTTAAATCTGGTTCAAAAGGCACTATACTTTAAAATCACTTAAAATACACTCCCAAAAGAGGTTACTTTTTGGTGTTCTGTTTATCGGGTACTAAACAAAATCATCCTATCATCGATTTGAGTATGCCTCTGAAAGTACGAGAGTCAGGAATAGACTCATGTTGCCATAATAGCAGTTCCTTTGGTGAGGAGAGAGGATTAATTGTCATCGGTTTTTCGGCCCTGTGTCCCTCCGCCCCACCCCTCTAGTCAGCTTATCCAAGCTCCGCCACTGTTGTCCTAGTAATTGAGTATGTGTGATTATATTTTATATTTTTTAACATAGGGTGGAATTCGAGTGAAGGTAGAAGTATGGGATGTAGATCCGAATGCAGATGATAAGATTGATTTCTACGCAGTGAATATCAATCTACCCGCGGCACGTAACGAGGCTGCTGCTACAGCAAGAAGATACACACTCTCAAGTAGGCGAGGGTATTCAACGTGAGTACCATGTCAATTCGGATCATCAGCAGGCAAATCTATTTTTTTTTTCTTTTTTCATTTCATTTATTTTCACATTTCTCATGTTACACATACATTTCAAATTAAAGTACAATTTTGTGTGTGTGATACAATAACAATTAATGATACATAATAAATAACATAAAGATAAGTCACTTATCTTTATTTTATTTATTATCTATCAGTACTCTATATTGACCACTGTGGTCAATATAGAGTACTGATTTAACTGAGGGAAATATGATGAGACCAACATGAGAGCAAGCTTGTTAAGTTGTAGGCCCCAGTGAAATAGTTTGTGGTAATGAATGGAGGACGGATATAAATAGTGACCAGTGTAATGCTTTGATAACAATACCAGTACTTGGGGATATATTCAGTGGCTTATCATATAATATACCTTTATGTTCTATTTCATTGTCTTGATTTGATCTTTAATGGTACGTCTCACTTTTATTACCTTAGCTGCGTTATTAGCTTATAACTACAATGTTTATGTTTGTTCAGGGGGAAGTATAGATTTGCTGCCAAATTTAATATACTCACATTGGCGAAATGTACGTTTAAAACTTTAAAACATTCAAGGGGTGTATTAAAATGTCTCTTTTTCTTGAAGATGGGGGAGGGGGAGGGAGACAGGTCCTCTTACTTGAGCTTCCATGACTGTGATACATTTTATATGCTATCCAATCTAGGATTAAAGCCATGTGAGTCTCCTATATATATATATATATATATATATATATATGCCTACAGCTCTATCGAATTTAATCTAAGACGGATTTATTAATCTATGTAATTATGTATATCTTCACCAGGACCATCATTGAGGCAAAAGTTTTCTGCGACCCTCATTTCTACGGCAGTAACTGCCGGACCTATTGCCAGCCCACCAACTCTGACAGCGGACACTACTCCTGCAATCCACAAGGACAGAAAATATGTCATCCAGGATATGCGGGTTATAACTGCATCAATGTTAGTTCTTTTTTGCAAGTTCATTGTCATAATCAATTTGACTTTTGATGAAGGTCATTTCAGACGAAACAAATTAAAAGAGTCGTATAAAATGTGTGCCCAGTAGGTGAAATGATATAGGGAAATGTTGGTTTACACATTAAAACTTGTATTATAGTGTATAATCTATTTTGTTAATTAGGTAATATTTTAAAAGAAGGGATGTTATTTCAGGAGCAGAAGGCCATTCATGTATTGATGAGAACTTAGAACAACACCAGTAATGGCTTACATAGTCATTAGCAATTGCGTTCCATATTATATGTTTATTTCGTTTCCTTTAACTTTTATGTTGAGAATAACAGATTCATTTAAGGATATTCGTGCCAACAAACGATCAGTATTCGTTACTATCTTTTATAAATCAACATCATTTTGCTTCGTTACATTTGACCTTTGAAGAGTACTAGAATGCGAAACTAGTGAAGCAGCTTCCTCGTAGTTTGTCATTGTTGAGATGGTTGATAGGGAATCCATGGACGCATGTCAGTCGGTATGCCGCAGCATGTTGCATGAAGTGACTCACATGCATATTCAGAATTATTGAATAATTCCGACCCAAACGTCGAGAAATGATATCACTCGACTGTTATTCCGTTGATTGGACCATCATGGTAAAGTCTGTAGAGCCAGACTATAAGGAGGGGAGGTAGTACGGACAGATGATTCATCAGGGGGTCTCTTTCCTTTGAGAGGAAACAAAAGTACACCATCTGCAACATGACCACCTTATTTTTCTCCAAGGTTCTCTCGTTTGTAGGACACTGTAGGGGAGTCACATTGAAAATCATGCTTTTATCTCGAATTACAAAATACCCACATGCTTTTAACACCATGAAGAAAAAAAAATCGGAGATTACGTTCTTTACAATCAGAAAGTGATAGTGCTGTAGGACGATATCTTTTAAAGGGATCGAGGGCGTAGGGTGAATTAACAGCAGATCTTTATCGACTTATCCCGTCTTAGACAAATATGTTGTTGTTGAAATCGACCTTCATAATATCTCATTGTCACCGGTCCTCCATTTTCTAACACGGCTACGTTCATCATTACCCGTTATTTTTTGTTTATCTTGTAGGAGATTGACGAGTGCGAGTCAGGGCCCTGTCAACATGGTGGAACGTGCTCGGACATCATGAACGGCTACACATGCGAGTGTATAGAAGGAATATCAGGTATTGATTGTCATCTGATGACATCGATCATCTTCCGAAAAGTATTACATTAACATCACAATCATTTGTATAAAGATGGCATTTGTTGTGAGAAAGTCGAAAAGAAGAGCAAATTTAAAGTAGAGAGACAGCTATAAATAGAAGACAGTGTAGAAAATGTATATAATGAATTCTTGCTAAAGTGGAACATTTTTTTGGTATTTTTCAGTTTTTGCTGAAAGTTAGCATATTCCTAAGAGAATCAATACTGATGATCGTAGTGCAATTTGTCGGACTGGATTAGAAAACCCACTATCAAACAAGTGTTTTGATGCTTTGTAATCGTGATTGATGTTATAGGAGAAATGTAAAATCAAGAAAAAAAAAGTGATAACAAAAAATATATTTTTTACTTTTTCCTACTTTTGAAGGCTCAAATTGTGAGGTCGACATCGACGAGTGTTCAAGCTCACCATGTCTCAACGGTGGATCTTGTGAACATTATGTTGGAAACTATTCCTGTTCCTGTTCAGCAGGCTTCGTGGGACGTAACTGCGAGATGAACGCCAATGAATGCTCCTCCAACCCTTGTAACAATGGAGGTACCTGTCACGATGAACTGAACGGGTTTAGCTGTGCGTGCGCAAGTGGTTTTGAAGGAACCACCTGTGAGACCAATACAGATGAGTGTGTCAGTAACCCGTGCAAATTGGATCATACATGTATAGACGGAGTTGATGGATACGCGTGTGAATGTTCTCCAGGTTATGAAGGAATTCAGTGTGAGGTAGAGATCAACGAATGTAACAGTGGACCTTGTTTGAATAATGGTTCGTGTATTGATGCTGTAAATGGGTATACATGCCTTTGTGTTAACGGCTATAATGGATCGGCATGTGAGATTGATGTCAATGAATGCGAGAGCATCCCTTGCCAGAATAACGGAACCTGTTCCGATTCCATCAATGGTTATGAGTGTATTTGTACCCCAGGCTTTACTAGTGTTAACTGTGAAGGTAACATTGATGAATGTAGCAGTAATCCATGTACCCTTGATCACACGTGCGTCGATGAGGTGAATGGATACACATGCCAATGCAGTCCTGGGTTTACAGGAACACACTGTGAGCTTGACGTTGATGAGTGTGAAAGTACACCCTGTAACAATAACGCCACTTGCACTAATGGTATTAACATGTTTCAGTGTCAGTGTCAGTCTGGATTTGAAGGTGCCCTATGCGATGTAAACATCAATGAATGTATGAGTAATCCATGTCAGAATGATCATACTTGTGTTGATGGAGATAATGGTTACACCTGTCATTGTGCAGCAGGCTATACAGGTACTCACTGTGAAATCAATATTGATGAATGTACAAGTGGTCCATGCCTAAATAATGGATCATGTGAGGACCTCGTCAACAGCTTTATCTGCCACTGCGCATCGGGTTATGAAGGAGAACTGTGTGCCGAAAACATAAACGAATGTCAGAGCAATCCGTGCTTAAACAATGGAACATGCGAGGATGTGATCGCGGGCTTCACATGCCATTGTTCTGATGGATTTGATGGTGAATTCTGCCAGTTTGACATAGACGAATGCCAGAGCCAGCCCTGCTTAAACCAGGGTTCTTGTGTTGATGGGGTAAGCAGCTACAGATGCATATGCAAAGATGGGTTTACAGGCAATACGTGTGACGGCAACATAGACGACTGTCTTGAATCTTCATGTTTGAACAATGGAACATGCATCGATGGAATAAATTCCTTTACATGTAGATGTCCTCCCGGATTTGAGGGGTCTCTTTGTGAGATTAACGTAAATGAATGCGAAAGTCGACCGTGCCTCAATAACGGAAGTTGTATGGATGGTGTGAACAGTTTCCAATGTGACTGTGAGCCGGGATACGGCGGTGATCTCTGTCAGACCAATGTCAATGAATGCAGCAGTAATCCATGCCAAAATGGTGCCTACTGTATCGATGGCATCGATGGATTCATATGTTCCTGCCCCGATGGTTACTTTGGATTGACATGTGAAGTTGACCATGACGAATGTGCCAGTGCACCATGTCTTCATGGTGGTTCTTGTATTGATATCGTGAACGGATTTTACTGTCGATGTACACAGGGTTTCGGGGGTATGGTGTGTGAGGTGAACCTTGATGAATGCAGCAGTACACCTTGCACGAACGACGGGACATGCGAGGACATGGTGGCAGGCTTCACGTGTCATTGCCCAGAGGGATTCGATGGAGACTTTTGTGAAATGAACATCGACGAATGTGTCAGTCTTCCTTGTTTGAACAACGCAACTTGCGTCGATGGAATATTATCGTATTCATGTGACTGTCCCGCTGGATACACGGGGAGCCTATGTTCTGAACAGGTGACACTTCCCCCGGTACCGCTATGTGCCCAGGAGTTTTGCCAGAACGGGGCTACATGCATCCAGCGAGATAGCCAAGAACGGTTAGACATTCCATTTCTTTTGAGATAGGAATCATTGCAAATATGCATTGGTATTAATACTAGCTTTCCTGAACCATTTCTAAAAAAGAATTATGGGTAAAAGGATATTAAAAGATACTATTCTGGATTCCATACAATGTTTTTAATCATATCATACCATAAATACATCACATAATTCCTTTAAAATTAAATATGCGATTGGAAATCTTAAATGGATATATTCCACATTGCAAATTTGATTTATAGGAGACTCGGCGTATTCCATGTTTTCTCCTACTATATTGATCAAACCCTGTATTAATTTAGTACCCTTCAAATAAAGATGATGGGGGAAAGGAGGTAAGTGTCCCCATTTTCCCATCGTCATTCATTCATCGAGGTTCACATTCAACCATTAACCTTTGTTTCACCTCTCATATCCACACAGATGTATTTGTGCGCCTGGTTTCACTGGTCCTCGTTGTCAGGATGTATTGAGCGGACCGTGCTTCCCATCGCCATGTTTGAATGGTATCTGTGTTCTTGGAGACGCCAATACCACAGAGTCACGCAGATGCATCTGCAGTGATAACTTCCTCGGGGACTTGTGTGATGTTGGTACGTAACGGACACTCCTAAAGGCATCGTTTAACAATGTTAAATCTGAGATGTATGGCCCTACGTGTTCTCAGTGTCTGTGATATCGTGTAATATTGAAGCCCTAAAAAAAATTTGCGCTTCAAAATGATCATGAAGTGCCTCAAATAAGTAAAAAAAAATCTATGAGTGACCAGTTTTACAATACTCATTTTCCCCACAGACTGTAGTGTTATAAAAACCGTTAGGTAAACGAAAAATGAAATTTCGATTTCCAATCATAAATATCTTGATAATCAAAGGGGCGATCAGCTTGTAAAAGTCATGGGATTGCAGCATGAGCTCAATTCAGGATTTTGTTTCAGAATCTGAGGCAAAGTTACCCAAATCCCTTTAAGTAACTTGTATTCGTGCATGTAGGATATTGTGTAAAATGACATGTATATCAATAATATTAGCACCTGGTGAGGATCAGTATTGTCGATTATACTCAATACTTTGACTTGGATGTGTTCTTTTGCATAATGACATGATCTTTGCTTTCCATTTCATTTAACAATTATTATGTGATCAAGATGGAATTGGAAATGGAAGAATAAGTAATAGACATAGCTGCTTAAAGGTACTATGTCCCATTTGCAGGCCAAACAAATGAAAAAGTTAAATTCCAACTGCATTTGAAAGATAATACTAATTTAGAACTTCCCTAAAAAGGATGGGACTTGAAAATGTCTTCAAGTGGGAAAATAACGACTATTAGTTGTCAAATCGACTTTAGGGCTATAGAGCCCAAAAGTAATAGTCTTGATTTTCAGACAATTATACTGAATGGTCATACATTTTATGCTGCGCAATGATTCAATCAGTTTAATCTTGGCCATCATAAGAAGTGGGTTATTGATGTAGACAAATGCTCATGTACCCTTTACAACTCTTTTCATGAATGTTATTACCAAAGAAGAAAAAAAGCCAGTCACTCACTCAATAGTGTCTGACAGTGAAGTCTAGTAAGTAAACGGGTTTCCTTGCATAATTTGAATATGAGGGCACTGCTAACGTTTAAATTTCACAGATGGGACATACATGACATATTCATAATTCCTGCAAAGTTCTACAGCATTTGAGGTTGGCTGCAAAAGGGGCATAGTACCGTTAAAGAAGGAGATAGGGGAGGGGAGAAATAAGAGAGAGAGAGAGAGAGAGAGAGAAGGGGGGGGGGATGATGGATATTCAGGGAGGAATGGTGGATACATCGGATGGGAGAGATATAAAGTGATTGAAAGAGAAATAGAGAGAGGGACACCCCATACACACACACAGACAGAGACAAAGGCACAGACACAGATTTTGACCCAAATAACTCAAAACTTATCACATGATTAAATTCCAATATTTTGCACAGATCCGACGAGGGACATCTATTCCATCACGTTGGCTGATCACGTCAAGCCATCTGCTGATCTCCAAGCACACATCTCAGAGCTTCTCACATCGACCCTGGACATACGAGATCCCGAGAGCCTTCAGATTGTCTTCCAGAAAGCCCAGTACGGGGAATCACAATTGACCAGGTACGTTTACATCGGCTTACTTCGAATCACTCGAGGGAGGTCGCGTTAAACGACCTTTCGTGAAACGAAGACAAAAGATCACGCGACCTTTTGTAGATATCCCGTTGGGTTTTCACAGAGTGTCGGGTAAATTAAACCAGACCATTTATAGATGAGAGGGTTTATTTCACAAACTTTACCCCCGACACGTTTTTACAAAAGGTCGGGTAACACGACCACCCGACCCGACGCGATGATTCGAAGTAAGCCGTCACAATCAGTCTCCCCAAGTCTCTTATATATTCTGATACGTGTACACATCATTCCATTCTTATTTACAAAATATATGGATCATAGAGAAATACAAGAATCCCGAACTTTGGAAGAGCTAGCCCTAAATCATCACGGATAGACTTGCGATTTCTACTAGTATTACATTTTATTTACGATTAAAATTTATTTAAAAAATCAATACGAACAAATTCAGAAAGTTTCCAGATATTTCTTTGACAGTACCATTGTATGATCGTCAGGTATGAAAGGGCACATCATTATTCGATGATTTTTTTTCTTCTGTTTCTTCTTTCCCCAGTAATGTGCCTTTCTGTTTTCATCTATTTCGTATGTTCTTAGTTAACGAGTATTTCTGTTTTTATATTTTGGACACTCTAGTCTTGCCTATACCACCATCGACTTTTTCGTACGCGCAGATGAGGCTGTGTTGACTGAATCTCAACTAACTTCTGCAATTCATTCCCGCTCAAACCAAAAGATTGATGCCATACTCAAGCCCTACAGACTATTTATAGAAACTCCACAGGCACACATAACATCAAATGGAAATAAGGTTGGTTCATACGAGAATTAATCCAAAGAAATGTATACAAATTGAAAATACAAAATTAATGTACTATATACTGTATGTATACTTATGACATTCGATATGATGGGTTTAAAATGAAATGACCTTTGATCAAGATTTTCTTGGCTTTAGAGTTTGCATGCACCCTTGTAACATCATCCGGAATGTTGTATTGTACATCTGAAACAATCTTTAAACAAATAATCTAAAGTTCTTTAAACATTTCACAATCTGATATTTCAATTTATAAATACAGATCAATTATAAGTACTGCACAAACTAAACGCCGTGTTTCCCGAATGTAATACAATAGAAAATAGTTACATGTTACTTAATATGATATCGCATCTTTATTCAAGATCCTACTTTTTAGTTTATGTATTTATAAATATTAGACTGTCTGACCTTATTCTTTTTCTTTTCTACAGCAATGGATGTCAAAGAACTGGTTTATCTTCTGTATCATCGGGCTACTCATTCTAATAGCTTTGGTCTTATTTGCATATATTTACAGGAAAAGGTAGGGTATTCCATATGCAACTCTGGTCACTTTAGGCCTACTTATGTATACGTATGGACAGAAAAGCGCTGCCATGTACTATGAGCCTCAAATTTGGCTCGTCATAACAAAATAAGTTGAAAGGGTTGAATGAAGAGATAAGTAGGAGATAACATGTAGATTAAAAAGCATAGTGTACTATGATGACCTTTGGAAACAATACTGTGTTTAAGAGTGACGATGATATTAAATAATGTATGTTTATGAACTTCCCTAGTTGCTTTTCAGTTGAGATTATAATGCGTGACATGCGAGACATTGATAGCATATTGTACAATATTATTGTAATGGAGGGGGAAAATCCTTTCATCACCTCTCAGATAATATCTTACTTTGTTAAATTGAATTTCTTTTTGATGTAGGAGAAAACAATCGGAAGCTTATTTGCATGCAGAGTTAGAACGAGAAGTCACACGGTTCATCAACCCAGCGTTCGGTTCACCTCCAACGAACGGCCAGCTGAGATTAGAGGGCGCTGTACCGGTAAAGGAAGATGTACCTTCGTGGGAGGCCAACTTTTCCAACTCGACCATGGGTACATTCAAAGGTCCAGCTGAATCAGATTCGGAACTATGATGGAACTGAATCAATATGCAGAAGTTTTTCCAGACGTGCATGTGTCTCTGTATCCAACATTTCTGGATACAGCACAAGTGCTTGAAATTAAACTACAGAAAATAGGATTTGGGGCTAGCTATCCCCTTGGGTGGACTATGACCTGCTGTCAACAATTAGTTTCGGATGGAAGTTTACCATCTGAAGTAATATGACAATTAACTTTCTTTTTCTGAACATGAAAAATGATTGGAATAAGCTAGTATTTGTGACATTAAGCCCAGGGGCAGTAATGATGCCCTTAGGCCTCAAGAATGGCTTTACATAATTAGCAGGGGGGGGGGGGGAGGATGATTATTGAGACAAGTCCAACCAATTGCAGTATCCGGTATTATATCAACCGTTTATTTATTTATTATTTATTATTTATTCGGCAATTCACAAAAAATATAACAATGTAAATATAAGTAAACAAACATTAAGAGAATGTCAATTATAAATGCACAATCTTCCTGATGGTCCTCTGAGTGCATCAGTTGGCTGCCGGGGAAGAGGAAAGCAAACTAAATCACTGTAACCGTAATGGTCCCTCTTACCGACCAACTGGTGCACCAAGAAGACCTGCACAATATAGCATGAAGGTAATTAAAATGTATAACATTTCATTAAAAAACCAGCTGACAAAAACAAAGCACAAGGAGGAAATCATATTAATATATATGATGACACTGGGTCATGACACGATACTCGTTATTCGATAAGGTAATTGTTGTCTTTGCCTAATTGTCAACTGAAGTAGGAAACAGAGATAACAAAGATCCAATTAGAAAGATAAATTCATTTCCTTTAAATCTTTCACTGTTTTCGAACTTAATTATGAAGGTGGATAGTGTCACATTGACCACTGTTATTTTCAATCCGCAACGTTGATACGGTGCTGTACAATAAAGCATCAGCAGGATTTAGGCAATGACAATAAGAAAGGATTGTTATTATCAGTAAACGAAAATTATGTAGATGGTTTTTATATTCATGCATATAAGACACAAGTCATTTCCTGGTTTATTTCCTCACATGATCAATCAATGTGTTACTATGTTTGTGGTCTGTTTATTCAACAAGAATGATGACTAAAAATGTGGCATTTTCTTGTCATATTTGTATTCTTTCTTTTCAGTGTTTGTGAGTAGGTAAAATAAAATGTTTACGTGCGTACTATACGATCTGGTGTAGAAGTTGTAAACGTGTTGACAAACTAGGGTATGAAGTTGTTATGTTTGAATTGCTTTATAACATTCAATTTGCTTTATTTGTCTAAAAACTCGTTACAATACATTCTGTTTCAAAGTTCACAAACTTATGATTGTATTGCGCATCAATAGACGGTGGGGAATTTTTCACCGCGAGCACCTTTTCTGATCCTTTATGATCAGTTTTCTTGAACAAAAAGGCTATTTATGACTCACAAGCGCACCAAGTGTCATAATAACCCGGAGCTATTTAGAATTTGTGGGAGCCCAGCGTTTTAAAAAGGTTAATATTCAACAGCCTCTAATTTGCCTCTATAAAAATCATTTTCATCTTACCCCTGTCTCAATCATAGTTCATGCTCCCCCTCTCTCCTCTCTCCCCTCTGTCTCCCTTCTCCCTCTCTCCTTCTCTCTCTCTCTCTCTCTCTCTCTCTCTCTCTCTCTCTATATATATCTATCTCATGTTCCTTTATTTTTCTCTATCTATATTTCGTCTTCTCTTCATCCATCATTCTCAATTTATGTTGCTTTCTCTATACTTATAGCGTGGTTGTATACATTGCATTAGAAATTGACAATTTCAATCAGTAAATCGATAAAGCATTGTTTAATAAGAACTTGTTGATGGTAATGATATACTGTAGTTCATATTGAAAAAGAATATTCCGAATGAATCTTTTTATCGCTATGGAAATTTTTAAATTTAATTCATAGCTTTAGTTGTAATGAACAAAAAAAAGGAAGGATGACAAACTTGTCGCAATAAGTGTTCTTTTTCTAGAAAATTCTTGTGATTTAATGTCATCATAAAATAGATCTATTGCACTGATTAACTATTACGTGTGAATGACGTGCCTTGAATCTAATCATTGATTGTAATACATGTAAATAACATTTTAAACTGTGTCTCTGTTTAATAGTTGAATGTCGTTATTGTGCGTTTAAAGGTATAGACCAGTTCTGGTAATGCGATTGCATTGTAAAAGAAACGTTGTGAAATCGATCAGAAAAGGTTGACCATCTAGCATATATGTATTTGTGTGTACTGCAAGGTTTTAGATTCATCAAATTGATCAGAAATTTGACCCAGTCTTGGTAAAGTTACGAGCACTATACACATAGAGATGTAAATGGGACTACGGGATATCTATCTAGGCCGGATAGATATGATAATTTACCAAATATATCAATTAGTAGGCGGTTTCCTGGCAAATATGTATCATCACGTATTAGTCAAAACATATTCTTTCACATGATTGGTTATAAGAGCTTCCATTTCATTTTTTGAGAGGGGGCGGGGGCCGTTTCCAAAACTGGTCTATACCTTTAATGTGATGCGGACTTTACTGAAAGCATTGCATCACGGTTTTCTCACCTCTGTCTCTCGATAGTTACTCCCTCCCTCTTTCTTTCTCAAGTCCCAGCATTACACCAACCGTTGCTCATGAGTACATACAAAAAGAAAGTATGGGAGGGAGATTGATTAAGTGATTAATAAAGAAAAAGTGAGAAGGGAGAGAGAGAGAGTGTGGGGGGGGGGGGGTAGAGAAATAGAAAGAGAAAGAGAGAGAGAGAGAGAGGGGAAAAAGAGATACTTAGATAGACAGATAGCGAGAGAGAGAGAGAGAGAGAGAGCTAGATAAATGGAGGGGGGGGGGGGTAATGAGAACTAACAAAAAATGGAGCAAAACAAAAACCGCTTTCTACTTTTTTTTAACCAAGGGGGGGGGGGGGTGGGCATTTTCATTTTTTGTTTAAAAAAGGTATAATTAACGTTACCATCTTTTAAAAAACTTTTTTTTGCCAGGGGCCAGACTCGTCGCCCCCCTGGATCCGCGCCTGCATCAGGCTAAGTCATACAATGTTCATTGAGAACATTGATCTTTTCCCAGTGGTGTATATCGAGGGTCTTAGTGGCTTGAAATACACTAGGCTAGCAAGAATGTATGTTCTTTCAGAAACACCCAACCGTGTCCAAATTCATGTTAAGGGATCTTTTTTGGTGACATTGTGACATCAGTCTTCGTCAACAACAGCTATAGATGTTTCCTCGACCTCGGCAATATAACAATACAACTTCCTTAACAATCACTGCTATATACTCCTCTTATATCATGCTGCAAGATGATGTAAATTAATCTAGTACTAGTATACTTTTATCAGAGGAGGCTCTCCCGTGGGGCAGGGTGTACAGTGCCTCCAACTATTTCAAGTAACACAAAAGTACTTTGTAAAAAGTGCCCATTTTTACAAAGGATAAGTGCCTCTTTTATTTTGACACGTGCCTCTTTTCCTTCGAAAGTTTCCATTTTCCTTTGCAATAGATTTCCATTTTCTTTTCTCATAGGTGCCCTTCTTAATCTCTAGTAAGTGCCCCTTTTAGGTACGAGAAGTACCCCTTTTCACTCTTAATAAAAGCCCCTTAACCTCTGATAATTACCCTATTCAAATCTGAGAGGTGCCCCTTTTACTTTGCCAAATGCCCTTTTTTCTTTATAGGAAGTGCCCCTTCTCCTTTTTGTAATATCCTCCTTTTTAAACTCGGATAAGCTCACCATATATTGTCAAATGTGCCCCTTTTCCTAATGATAAGTGCCCCCATTAAAAAAGAGGAGCCACTTCCCCTTCTCATAAATGCCCCTTTTCATCTCTGGTATACGCCCCTTTTTAGGGGCATATAATTGCTTTTGTAAATTCAATGACAATTTCTTTGCTTTGATCCAGTCAGCAACTACTAGTTATTGAGAGTTCATCGTACTCAGTAAAATGTCTGGGTCTTGATGATTAAAGAATAGTTAAGAGTCGTCAGCAAACAAAATGAAGGACAGGGTTGTTGTTGGACATGTAAATGCAATAAAAATGAATGGACTTAAAATGGAACTTTGAGACACGCCAGATGCAATGGTCTTCATAGAAGGATGTGCATCGTCCATGAGTACCCATTGCTTTCTATTGTGGAGTTAGTTCTTGAACCACTCCAAGGCTATTCGTCTGATCCCGTAGTTAGACAGTCTATAAAGAAATATTTCGTAATTTATCATGTCAAAGGCCTTCGAGAAATCCAATAAAACCCCCAACCGTATGTTAAAAATTGTCAATAGAAAGAGCCACCTTTTTTACTAGAGTCACAAGGGTATGGGTTGTACTGTGCTTTTCACGGAAGCCAAACTGTGACTGAAGGAAGTTTTACAAGTACATACGAATTTCACAGTACGAACACATACCATTTTTTCAAGAACTACGGATAAAGATGTCAGCAATTAAACAGGTCTGTAGTTTGCCAACTCTAACGGATCTCCTTTCTTGAGGACTGGAACAATTTTACCAATGTCATCAATGCCCCAGATGTAAGTGATAGTTTGAAAATATGGACTGAACGTTGGACGATATTTAGTGTACTTTTTCAGGAGATCATCGCTTATGTCATCATGTCCAGAACTGCGCTTTATTTAACCCCTTAATTATGTCTACAATTTCACTTTCAATAATTGGTGTAAAATATATAGAGGATTTGGGGGGCCAAGAAAGTCAGTTAAATGTTTATTTGGGACTGGTATCTTTTGGGAAAGGTAAGACTTAAAAAATAACCATTAAAACATTCCGGAATAAGTGGGGTAATATCAATAACTTAATCATTGAATTTAATCTTTATAATCGTGGAAGTATTGCTTTTCCCGTGTATAACAGTTTTGATAACCTTCCACGTAAAAATAGGCCAATAGAGCTAACCGCGTCTGGAATAAATTTCACTAAACATAAATGATATAAATACATTAATACAATTTGGTTTCGTACCCTTTTCCCAGTCTACTCCGAAATAAAAAACGATAAAATCCCATCATTCATTTTTTTCAATTTTTAAAAAAAATGGGCATTGTAAGGTGTGCACTGGCCCAGGTCGATTTCTCTTTATTTTTGTTTGCGTACAAGTATTATCTCATGCACCGTTCAGTCAGCTCGTATAACAAACCCAGCACCTCTTATAGTATTACTCCATTGCAAAGGAAAACGCGAGTCGATTAGGTACGTTTGCATTCTTTCTGGAGAACATAACCGTCAAATCCTGCCTCACCCGTCTAATTTTCGCTACCATGATGTGGATTTATATACTAATCATAAACCTTATACTTGCTGGATTTGTGCTAGAGGTAAGAATATGATTCTTTGTGCTACTCTGATTTATTTATATTTTGACAAGTTGGAACATGGCAACAGCTAAGGTCACAACATCGCCAAACGATTATTGGAGAAGTCGAGCAGGCTGTAGAGCCCCAGGGATGCCTGAGCGGTGCCCTGTCTATTTCCCTTTGGTCGTCGGTCGATGTTAGGTAAAAACTAGGCAAGTCATGGAGCTTCTCCGCGAGGCGTCCCGGCAGTTACCGACTGATTCCAGGGCGTTCTCCCGCCGGCCACCGGCTGATTTTAAAGTAATTGTCCGGCGGCCGGCCAGTGATCGGCGGGGCATCTGCTGGTGTCTCGTAGGCCGAAATACGCTCGGTGCCCGGGCGGTCGCCTACCGGGCAGCGACCCAATCGAGCGTTCGCCATCGAGCGATTTAGATCAAAAATCGAAGCCGCTAGGTCAAAGGCTGCCGGGCTGGCGCTGCCTGGAGGCCGACCGATTTTGAACTCGCTCCCTAGTGACCTAGTGACCGGAAGCAGATTGGGATGGGGGGGGGGGGGGGGGGCAAACATTCCAGGGAGCTCATCTTCCAGGGGCAGTGGCGTAATGAGCAACACCACCACTCTTACATGTTACATGCAGGCCCCGCGGGACGTTTTTCAAAGTGGAATATTAACGATCAGGTAAAGCGTAGCGAGCGTAAATGGCGTAGGGTCCAGGAGCTTTGCCCCTGCGGGGGAAAAGGGGCTTACCCCAGAAAGCTCAGGCTTTTTAGGCATTAAATTACGGTCAGATAAGTATATTTAGACACCTTAATTGTGACACTGGCAAGTCACTAGTTGGCGGGGGGTCCAGGGAGCAGAGCCCACGGAAGCTATGGGGTTTGGGGTATTAAATTACGGTCAGATAGGCATCCAGGGCCTTCTTTAGGGCCCTAGCTTGTTGGGGGAAGAGTCTCCGGAAGCTCAGTTTTTTTAATGTTATTTAAATACGGTCAGATAAGCATCCAGGGGCCCTCTTTAGGGGCCTTGGTAGGGTCCAGGGGGTAGAGCCCCCGGAAACTCAGAGAGTTTAGGTATTTAATAACAGTCAGATAAGCATTCAGGGGTCCGCCTTAGGGCCCTTTGTGGGTTTCAGGGGGCAGAGCCCCGTAAGCTCAGGGGATTTAGACACTTAATTACGGCCAGATGAGCATATTTTGATACCTCATTTGTGACATTGGCTGGTCGCTCATTTTTTTTCTGTCTCTTTCTTTCTTTATCTCTTTAACAGGCTTTTTTCAAAAAAATGAGGGGGGGGGGGAGGGGGCTCGAATCCCCGTGTCCCAACGTTCTGCAGGCCCTGGAATGAAGGCTTCTTAATAAGCATATTTTTTTTTGCCCAACTGTAAATTGGGGAATTTGTAATTTTCCAACAAACGCATAAAAAGGTGTGATTTACACAAAAATTGAGAACAAATACCGGAAAATAATGTAATTTCACCAACATTTGTAAATCACTGGTATCAAAAAAGAAATAGCCCCCCATCATCAGTACGCCAGTGTTCAGGGGCTCATGTCTTCTCACCTGTATAATAAAAACACACACGCTTTCCCATCCTCGGACAGAGCCCTTACGCTTACCGGCCAGAACCTGACACAAACCTTATAAATGAAAATCAAATGAGTCCCGTACGGTCTCTAAAGTCCATGGGCAAGCCGCCGGATAGGGAAAATCGTACGCGGTCCGGTGTATATGTGACCTATAGGCATTAGGTCGGTGCCCGGGCGGCGACCGTCCGGGCACCAAGCGTATTTTGGGCGGCGAGTGAAAAGCAGGCAGGCACAGCCCGAATTTTAACTCCGCGCTAAAACTTCAGCGGCAATCGAGCGATGCCATAAAAACAAGCGGTGCCCGGGCGGCCGCCACTCGGTGCCCGGGCGAAGTTGGCTAAAAACTCACCGCCTGGATCCAGAGCAGGTTAGTTTTTTTGGGTTGTGACCATAGCCTAAGGATATAATCATGATACAATATTTTCATTCATAAAGATAAACATGCATGGTTCAGCCGGCATGTATCTTTAGTTACGCAAAACTTGGCTAATTCAGATAATTTGATTTGCTTCGTTTTCAAACTCTTTTAACAATGTACGTATCTGCCCAAAAATGTGTTGTGACATGTCTGTATTATACTTGGGGTATATCGCAGGTATCGGCTTCAGCTAGGAGCTCATGGTATTACGTTTTGCTCAATTACAGTATTTTCTTATTGTCAATCATTAACTATTAAAGATCGAAGCCAATATTTCGATTTTTTGTTTGCTTTTTAATACTGTGCTTGTGCTTTAAGAATATTTTGCTGTTAGAGTTGAGACAGGCCAATGTGTCTGTCAATCTTTCCTTTCTCCGTTTCTTGATGGTTTAGTTATTACGCAAACATTTGTAGATAAATAATTAAAGACACATTAAGAATTTCATTAATAGGGTTACCTACTACCAACCTCCGTCTCATCCTAACATCTTACCAGTTCTAAGCAAACACAATTAACTTTGCTTGTCATCATAGACCAAGTAGTCATATTTTACGAGCCGTACTATTTTTGTTATATAATTTTGAATAAAATCTATTTATAATTGTTATGAGGTTCAATTTTTAGAAACCCACTGCATTTGCTTTCGGCCAAGGATTTCCTCACATTATTGTGTTCTTTTCAATAATGAGATTTTATTCTAATATGGCGAAAGGAATACTAATCTCAATTATAATTTATTCCATTGTTCATCATAGTTGTCCCTCAAATATCCGTTTTTTACACCACAAAGTTTACTTTTCGTATTCGTAACGTTTATTTATAGCGACAGGACCTACCGGGTAGTGTTAATCCTTGTTTATTAGGAACTTATTTGGACATTATGTGCAAATGCCAGTAACAAGAGAAAGATTCGCCTTAACAGTGGAGATAACGATTGGACTCTAAATCCTTTTTAAGATTCTGTATCAGTTTTAATCGTCTTTATAACTATGATGGTATTATCGTACGTCATAATTATGTGCCTTTGAACAGAGTATGGGATACTATGTCAAATCGTCCTTTAATAAACAAGGAAGTGTACTTGTATAATATATTCGTGTCAAATCATATTCTCATGAAATTTCACAATGATCTAAACTTCGTTTATAGGCGGACTATAGGAAGGGTTGTGGGGTTTGCTGACCAGAACAATTTTAAGATTACTGCTCCCATCGGAAAATCCCCTTTACGAGCTTCTGAAGGAGGCTCACAATTTTGTTTTTAATATTCTAATTAAATCTTATCTTGAGCTCTGGTATGGGAATGTTGTGTCGAAAGAACATGGATATAATTCATTCTGGTTCGTTTATCCTGCAGTAGATTGATTGTCTGAACCAGTTAGATGAAAATGATCTCACATAAACTTGTTGGAAATCATCTTCAATAAAAACCACAACTCTCTTTTGCACAAAGTGACCTGTGTTAAGCAAATGGTGTCGGGCCTATTTACATGTACCTTGATTTCCTTATCTTTCTATGCTGATCACTCAGTCCCTATACATTTTCTACCAAAATCGTTTAGAACATGTCATGTATTTGCAAACTTGAACATTCCGTGTAAATTTTGTGCGATTTTTTTTCTATCATTACGAGAACTCAAGCTTATCTTTAAACTTTAAGGTATGTATCTCTCGATATCAACCGTTGAAGTTTGTGGGAGTGGTTTTCCGTAAGCCTGAAAATATATTTCCAAATATGGACATGACTTTATCAACAACAATGGCAGCCACTAGAGCCTTCTCTAGCTTCTATTGAAGAGTTACAGCGATTACCAGGAAGAAAAGATTCTGTGGTGCGTGTTTGATTTGTGACATCATCTGCCTTATTAAACTTGATCAGTGAAGCTTGGATTTACCTCTTCGTTTCAGCAACAGCATATTGCAGTACTGATTTGTATCATTCAAAGATAATTTATGTTGTTGTTGTGTGTTTTTTGTTGGTGGGGGGGGGGGGGGAGGCATTTTGTCAGACATAAATGTATAAATAGCTTTTTTGACATAGACATGTTTAATGGTGTTTTAGTAAATGAGCTACACAATTGCTATCTTAATCATGAGTAAAGATGAGTTATATTCAAATCTTGAAGGGACCGCGGTCGCCTTATCTTCGGGTCTGTCAATGCCTTCCCTTTGGAGTGCATTTAAACATTGTATTTAAACAAACAGAAGCAGATAATTGGATAGGTTCGAAAGAATCGGGAAGAAAGAAAGTAACAACAGCATAATTGACTTATGTGTTACAAGAACCACTGCCACACCGTTGTATGTATTATTGAGCAAAACATGACCTTACAAGTTCATCAAAAGAAACATTGATAACCGGATTTAGGGTCATGCAAAGAATCAAGTGAACAGACGATGATAAATAAGTTATTGTTGTTTATGGAACCTGGTCTCATATTCTCCAACCGCGTTGTACATGTAATTCCTAATTTTGAAACATTTTACTTAAACGGACAAAATGTTGTTGTCGGGTCTGCAAAAGCCATACAGACATAATTTTGTCATTGGAGCTGACGTCTATTGCCAGAAAATTCACTTTTTTAAAAAATTTGCATGCGAGGATCAAAAAAGGAAAAAAGTTGACTATTGCCCCCTTAAGGATTTCTCTAATTTTGACATTTTAAAAGTATTTATTCGATTATCGGAAGGGGCTGCAGCATCTCCTTTTTATGCATTTTGCAAGGATCAAAATCCGTCCCTTTACCAGTTTGGTCTTTTCAGTACGCAATTCTGTATTTATTAAACTTGCCTTTTTAATTTTTCTATGTCAAAATGCCGTTCATTCAAATCAGGTTCTGACTGAGCATTCTTTAAATCTGTACTAGTTTACAAGAGGGATTAGACCACCCTGCCAGGTCACTGGACAGGTGGTTATCTCATCAAATCAGCTCCCAGTTAACATAAGATAAAGAGGCTTATGGGGGACCAATGGTCACCGGTTAGGCATTGTTTCCTATATAGAGGGCGCAAGTAGCTATAAGTAGTACAGTGGGGGTTTAAAAGGTGCTGTATTTCAAAGCCAAAAATATTTTCTGTGTTAGTCTTGATATTCATTGTACATTAACTAGTCTTTTACCATATTAAAGTGTTTTATTGACTTCGTTTGTTTAAATGCTTGACATCCAATGATTTTTTTTTAATGGACAAATATTTATTTTATTTAAAAAATAAAATAAAAAAGGGGAAAAAAGAAAAGAAAATAAAAATAAAAAAAGACTCCCAAAAATGAAATTAATTTTTTTTTTGTTGCCTAACCCTCACTCTCGCCTCGTACACACCTTTACAAAATAACTCCAAAAAGAAACAATTTTGTCCAAATAAAAAGAAATGAGCAACAAGCCAAAGCGTCTGCATGATGAAGTTGAACCTGTAATGAGAGTTGAAACTGTAATGTTATTACAGGTTGATTTATTTATTTGATTATTTTTGGTGTGTTTACAATATTCAGGTGTAAAATTGTGCCTTTATCTTTTCTCACAGATCCATGGTAGGGTGAAAGTGTCATTCAGACTGGTAAACTACGAAAACAACGGTCACTATGAACTTGATGGGGGATGTTGTGACACTTTTTTCGGTTGTAATAGATGCGACAACGAATTCACACTCTGCTTTGATGTCTACGGAGGGTGAGAAGAACCATCATGACATTTATTTATGTCTCATAGATATAGCAATCAACAAATGTTCCCAATTTCATCCAGACAGCTTTTTTTAATCGAAAGAAACTTTCATTTGTTTACAGGGTATCAAAAAGAAGATATTTCCAAGTGCATCAACATAAACGAGAACAGTACCGAGCTTCATTCGAAGCAATAGGAGACCCTTTTGATATTGACGACATATTAATTTAAGAGTTAAGGAAATAATTTGCATATAATTGAGCTCCGACATCTGAATGCGTATGCACATGTAACCACGTCATCTTGTTAACATACGACTTCGTATTACAGTCTAAAATCCCGTTGCGTTTATCGCTGGAAATGTAAAAATCAATTTTTTGCCATGTCTTTGCATTTTCATCACATGTTTAGCCTTCATCCCATTTAATATCTTCCTTTATTCAGGAATAACGATATGAACAATTGTGCTTATGGCAAGTTTCAAACGGACCTCCTCTATGAAAACAATGATAATTTCAACTTCCCGTCGTCTCTAGCCAGCAATCTAGTAAACCCAATTGTATTGACTATCAGTCCATGGTCGGTGAGTACATCTTTTTTTATAATTATTATAAATAATAATGATATAATCTGGATTTGAATAGCGCTTAAGACGAAATACCGTCTCCAAGCGCTTTACAAATATTATAACACCGGTCATCGGATTTACTCACGCACAATGTGCAACATCTCCACTTCCTGAGAAATATACCTACCATATGCTCACCGTGAGGCCATATGGCAATTACTAACACAAAAGCTTTCGTCATCCTACCAGGTCCCCATTTTTCTTCTGGTTATTGATTGGTAAATGTAGGTTAACGCCTTGCCAAAGGACATTATCCTTAAGGAACAATCACAGTGTTACCACATAGTGAACCACACTGTGTACCACATAGTCAAGCACAGTGTGTTACCACAGCATGCTATGCACATGCGATGTTGGGACATGTGGTAACGCTGTGGTATTAACTGCATAGTCTACCACATTGTGGTACGCACCACATAGTACACCACAGTGTTACCACATGTCCCAAAATCACATGTGGCCCACATGTGATGGCACGCTCTTGGACCAAACACATAATTACCACATAGTATACCACACTGTGGCTATACCACATAGTCTGGTAAACTGTGGCATCCGCCACATAGTCAACCACACCCTCTAGATGATAACAAGAATTAGTAATTTACGCTAGAAGTAGCGATTGTACTAATTAATTTTGCCAATGGCAACAATATTAACACAGCTTCACTGGTTCATCTGCAATTTCCGAAGTAAAGGCATTGGTAATAGGTAGGCTTGTTCCAGTATGTGTGTATGTGTATTGGGTTTTTACAGACGTGTATCAATCAGATACACGTTCCAGTGTGTCTTAAAACTTTTAATATAGTTGTATTTATTGAATATATTTTAGTTTATAGTTAATATTTTCCTAATTCATGTTTAATTAAATGTAATTTATACAAAGTAGTAACATTTCCTAATAACTGGCAATTTATATTTTGTAGTATTTTTGAAATTAATGGCATATTACTTAATCATCAGTAATTAAGAAATATGCTTTAAATTAAGATAAATTGTATTAAAACATAGATCTGCAGGCATCCCATATTCATTATGCAAATAAACTGGTGTCAACTGGTTCTACTGGAAATATGCCCATGGACCCGTTTTCAACTAGTGCAACTGGAAAAATGCCTACAGTCAGGTATCGACTGGTTCAACAGGAAATAAGCCCACATACTATGTGGATATCATTTTGTGGTAAAACCACATGATCTCAAAATCTCACGCTGATAATATACTGTGAACCAGTCTACACATAATGATTCATACCACATTGTGGTAAATATGTGGCACACTGTGTTAAATATTTACGACTATGTTGAAGACCACATGTTCTAAAATTCAACACTATGAAAATACTGTGAGCACAGAGTTTGAACATAGTTAAATACATAGCACACTGTTGTAAACATGTGTCACTCTGTGTATATGACCGATTATGTGGTAAACCAAACCCCACACAATATAGACTAGACAAAGATGTGTCACTCCGTGTTTAGTTCGACAATGTGAACACAGAATGTCCACACAGTCTACACATAGTTGACTATGTGAACATAGTGTGGCAACACTGTGATTGTTCCATAAGGGTAGCGCCGTGTCAAAGGATCGAACCCGCGTTTTTTCCTTTTCAAGTCAGGTGCTTAAAGCCACAATGGTAGCTACTTGCTCCCTCTACATAGAAAACTACCCAAATCGGTGCCTGTTAGTCCTCCATGATTCTCTTTTTCTTATGTTGATTGAGAGCTGAGTTCCCTACGAACTGTTACTTGTTAACCGCTGTGACGACGTCGAGGGAGACTATACAACTATAATATTTGTATTTTCTCGAAGTTTCATCTTACTATAATATCAGCAAAAGAATTTGCTATCCAGACACTCGAACACGAGAGTTTTGATGCACAGGCGCCGCACTCTTTCCAATCACGCCACATCGAATGATTGCTCAATGAGGTTGCACACTTTACTATATAGCTACGAATCCTACGATGCTCACTAGTCTTGACGAAATAAACCATATATTTATGAGGTCGAAGAAAATGACCATGTGCGCATACGCAAGTTCTAGATAGTTCGTATGCAAAATATTTTAGCCCACGGCCCCGGGTTTATAGGGTTGAATTTGAAGACATAGGGACATTGTCATTACTATATTTGTCGGTAATTGGTGGCTAGTTTTGTCAGTAATCAGTTGCCACCCTCACTGAAAAATGTCTAGGGCCGCCCCTGGTCCAATATTCATCTTTCTGTGTACAGTGCTTGTTCCTTTGCCAAGACAGGGATACATTTCTTATCATTTTGATGACTCAAATTTTGTCTTAATTCTGCATTACAATAATATATTACTCGAAGTTCTTCTAATTTTCATTTAAATAAAATAAGACTAAATATAACTAAGAAATTTATATTTTTTAAAGGGCCACAATTGTGGAACAATATTACTCATGATATAAAATCTAGTCCATCAATTAATGTTTTTAAAAGGAGATATAAAGCATTTTTAATCCAAAAACAAAATAAATAAAGTTTGATTCTGTACACGGTCAGGTTTTTGTTTTGTTTTTGTTTTTGTGTCCCCTCCTTTTGCAGCCAACATCAAATGCTGTAGAACTTTGCAGGAGTTATGAATATGTAATGTATGTCCTATCTGTGAAATTTCAACGTTAGCAGTGTCCTAATATTTACCGTCAGACAATATTGAGTGACTGACTGGCTTTTCTTTCTTCTTTGGTAATAACATACATAAAATGAGCTGTAAAGGGTAATTGAGCATTGGTCTACATCAATAACCCACTTCTTGTGATGGCCAAAATTAAAAAATTAAATTGATTGAATCTTTGCGCATCATAAAACGTACAACCGTGCGGTACAATGGTCTGAAAATCAGACTATTACTTACTGGCTCTATAGCAAAGTCGATTCGAAAACTAATAGTCGTTATTTTCCCACTTAAAGACAATTTTAATCCGCCCTTTTTTAAGGGAAGTTCTAAATTAGTATTAGTATTATCTTTCAAATGCCGTTGTAATTTAAACTTTTTTATTTTTTGGGCCTGCAAATGGGACATTTAAAGATAAAGACCAGTTATCGTCATGCGATTGCATTGTGAAAGAAACCATCTAGCATACAAGTATTGGTGCGTACTGCAAGGTTCTGGAATCATCAAAATGATAAGAAATTTGGCCCAGTCTTCGTAAAGTTACAAGCACTGTACACAGAAAGATGTATATGGGACTACGCAAACGTGCGCGACACGTGCGTTTATCTCTCACACACCAATAGATAAACTAATTTACCAAATAATATAGGATTTCCCGGCCAAATTCGCGAGTTTGTCATTCAAATTCATTTATCTTGCGTTCAAATTCGACGGTTTTAGTGCTGTCGGGTATATTTCGGGTTTATATTCCTTTTTCTAGATTTCAAATCTATGAAGTTTTCGTTAGAATCTATGTATGTTTCATTCCAATTAATGAACAAAGTGCTTCTTTCGTTATTTGGTCATTCGATTTAGCGCAACACGATTTTCTGACATCGCGACGGTGTACTTCTAGCATTCAAATTCATTTGTAGCATTCAAATTAACACTTTATGCACTAAAATTAATGGTCAATATACATTTCTCGTTTATTAAACACATTTTATAGCTCATTCTTTTTCTTTCAAGATAGTTTTTTCATGTGTATTTCATCCTATTTAATTTTCTTGCATTAATACACGTTATATACTTTTAGATTTATCAGATATTCATCAGCCTTAAAGTTTGATTGTTAAAAAAAAAGACTTACGTCTACGGACTTGATGGTCTCAATATTTGTGTAAATTTTCATGTATGGAAGTTGTTTGACTTGAGTTTCATCATAAATTTATCACAATTTCATTATGGAGGAAGGGTACAATATTGTGACTGGGGTAGGTGTTTTTGTATCCCCACTTTTCCGGGGTATATGAACATGTTCGTTCAGAGATGCCATATCCCTTGATTTCGCCCCTTCTTTACCTAATGTCTGACTACAAACTATGCTTTGTCCTCAAAATTAATAAGTTGAATAACAGAAAAGACCCCAATGGCAAATCATGTATTTAATTTCATTTTTTTTAAAGCTGTAAACGTGTGTTGCATTTCTTCCCCATAACATTCCTAACTTGAATAAACATAATTCGAATACGAATGACAGGTGTTAATTTGAATGATAAAAATGACGCCTCGACAAGTGACGACTAATTTGAATGCTAATTGAGCAGTTTCTAAATTGAATGACTGATCTATGAAATCCTTCGACCAAATTCCTAAATTAAATACAAAATCGAGAAAATTGAATGATAATTGGCATGGCAAAGCTGATCTGCGCTTACTTAAATGCACAGTAAACGAATTCGAATGACAAACTCGCGAATTTGGTCGGGAAATCCTATAGTAGGCGGTTTCCCGGCAAATCTTTTATCATCATGTATTAGTCAAAACATACTCTTTCACATGATTGGTAATAAGAGCTTCCATTTCATTTTTTTTAAATTGGGGCGTTTCCAATACTGGTCTTTACCTTTAAGGCAGTAGTTTTTTATTTATTTAAATATTTTTTTAATCACCTTTTTAAACAACAGTATAATACTGTTTTATACTGTATTACTGTTTTGGTGGCAGCACCAATAAAGCCTTTGACTTTCCTAGCTGTCTCCGCATTCATATACATTTTTGTTGTTGTATTCTATTGTAAATGTTTCTTTTTAACTTGTACGCTCTGTTTTGTATTTTATATGTTTGTTATGATGTTTTTATGATGAATGAAATAAACATCAAATCAATTTAATTCAATTCAACTCTAGAACCTTGCAATAGACACCAATACTTATATGCTACATGATAAACCTTTTCTGATCTAATTCATACCGTTTCTTTCACAAAGCAATCGCATGACCAGAACCCAACTTTACCTTTAAACCATTTGAATACGACACCTGCATCTATTTTATTTCCTTTTTTCTCTTTCTCCCTTCTTATCCTACCATTTCTTACATCGCTCTTTTTTATAAGGACTTCTGAACAAGTTCTAGTTTGATACGAATGTCTGCATGTGCATTTATGATAATCCATTACATTTAACATGAAGCATGTGCATAGGCATGGGCTCAAGAGCCCTTTTTGGCATGAGCTCCAGGGACATTTTCGCCACGGGAGTCCAAATATAAACTTTCAAGTTTTTAAATTTCGCGAGTACGCGAAGGGATGGAGAGAAAAAACACTTAACTTAATTATGGTAAGAAAGACTTAGCCATCAAATGCAATAGACTTGAAATGAAAATTACATATTAAGCCCGTTGTGTTGCCCTAATATTCGTGTGGTGAAGGTTGCCCGGGTATTGCTATTTAAAAATAATAATTTCAGGGGTGGGGCGGAAGCCGTGCCTACATATAGGGTTGCAGTACATCTTTAATCTGTTATTTTGTTATATTCCATAGACCGGGTTCAAGTCCAAGATTGAAGTTTGGGATTATGATCCACAAAATTCAGACGACAAGATAGATTATTACGGCAACAATTACAACTATAGTCCCGATCGAACATCAGCTTTGGCAACAGAACACACTGTGACACTGAATGGAGCAGGATCATCTCTGTAAGTGAACTTAACTTGTAGTGTCCATCTTCAAATACATTAACTGTTTCGTCTTTGAGATTATTCGTGGTACTATATAGGCATTTGTATTGCGCCATCTATCTGGAACTTCTATTCCGAGGCGCACAAGGGAATAAGTCCGAATGGGCGCCACATTCTCATGTCGAGCAGTGCGTAAAAAAAAAAGGAAGAAGAAAGAAAATAGGAATTAAACTTGGATTTGAAACTCTAATAATATTGTAGTTCTAAACTGCAAAGGTAACTGGGTTATTGGAATCTGAAAAAGATGCCGATGTGTTTATCTAGACAAAAGTAGGCGTATATAAATCATGGGTGTCGATCTGTAACGGATACCTATTCATCAGGGGGGGGGGGGGGGAATCTATCTATTTATTCATCCCCCCTGATGAATAGGTATTACGTAAGGATCGACACCCATAATATAAATAGATCATGAAGGAGCTTGGTGTGAAGGAGCTTGGTGCGAATGAGAATCATATTGTTATTAATGGTATACTTTAAAGATCACATCAACATAGCAGGTACAATCAAAGGGGAGGTCTACAAACAAAGTGCCATATATTTGCCTATGATCAAACCTGTGTGCTAGAAACATTCAAACAAGAATAACGAGTAGTAACACATTAGTTTTGCATCCATATAAAACTCCTGACGACGGATAGTCAACCTGTTCGAAACGTCGAGCCACTCCCGCCATTAATATTTATCCTCTCCAAGCTCTATAGTTCTCCTTAGAACTATAAGCTAAGAAAGATAACCAACAGTCTTTTTCAAGACTATACCAAATTAACAGTCCTTTTTCAGGACTACAAACCCTCAAGAAAGATTACCGAGAGTCCTTTTTCAGGACTCCTCAATCCTCCCTCTCTCTCACATGGGGCACCCGCAAGCCTTCTATATATCTACATCACCATGCAAGCCGAAACTTACAAATGTATGTGTTAAGGGTGTGCTATTGGTTGTAAGGATAATTCAAAATCCAACTCCAAATAATACATGATTTGATTTATGATTGTGTTAATGGTATTTGTAATTAATTTAATCATGTACTATCACTAGATATTTAAAAACAAAGCATGCTTTTTCAGAAGGGATATTCATAAGAATAACAGCACTTTCATAAAGGAAAACTGAAAAGTTGTGTTCTTTTTATTCTGTTTGTTAGAACGAGGGTTGCAGTGAAGGTTTACTGCGATGTGCATTACTACGGAACGTCTTCAGGCTGTAGCACGTATTGTTTAGCGAGAGACAACAGTAGAGGCCACTATGATTGTAATGATATTACAGGAGCTAGGGTTTGTCACTCAGGATGGCAAGGATATTACTGCAATCTAGTAAGTCTGATTTGAACATATTCATTTGGATTAGGGTTTGAATGGTTGATGTTGTAGGAATTTATTCCTTGAAATGCTAGAGCGCCGTATGGCAGCCGTGCTAAAGCCAGGGTAATAATCGGGAGCGCCAGGAGGGTCAAATCTGACTGACATGTGCGCTATACAAGAACTCATTATTATTATTATATGTAGAGCTAACGCTTTGTCTAGCTATGCAGTGGGTAATCACCCATACCCAAGGATACATTACTCCACCGGGCGTCGCTTTGGCGACCTGACGTGTTTGTGTCTCCTTTTACCAGGGATAAACAAATACCTCTTTTCAATTTTTAATGACAAAGATTTAATGACAAAGATTGACAGTGACTCAAAGAATAAGTTATAAAAAAAAACTAATTTTGTTTTGGATGGCTATAAATAATAATAGTAAATTCTTAAAGTTCTATATTAGGGCCCTATGTCCCGAGTTGTTCTTTGAGGAACAACAACAAAATATTCAAACATTTTTCTTTTTCTGCTAGAGAATCTCCGTTCAAGATTTATACATTACTTTTGTAATGTCTCATGACAGTGGTCAGTGGCAGGCAGAATGTACGTCCTGTAAAACATTATTAGGGACTTTTCGATTTGCACTTTCATAAGTGGACTGCGACGTATGCGGTCATTTTCATGCAGGGTTGACGAGGCACGCTGACTGTTGTTCGTTACCTTTTCAATTTTACACAACTACGACGCTCGCTTAGTGAACTTGCGAAACGCGATCGAATAGCTAAAATATAACACCAAATTCGGTGCATGGGACTGATCTCGAAAATTATGCTGCAAAAGATTGGCGATGCACAAACAAAATGTGTTCATTTCATGAATTATTCTGCAACAATTTTGATTTAAGAGAAATTACAGACACGAAAATGTGTTAATTTAAGAGAATTCACGCTTCCACCACTCTCCGCTTCTAGAATTAGGTCAATTGGGTCCATTTTGTGACTTCAGTTTTATGTTTCGTGCCTACAAAAGATTGCTTACGAACATGTATCGTCATAGGTTGGGAACGACGGCAAAACAAGGGCGAACGCGTTCGAGAATTCTGCTACGAACGATGAGCTCATCGATGCGCATGCGCACTGCTTCAAAAGTGACCGCATACGTCGCAGTCCACTAGTGAACGTGCAAATCGAAAAGTCCCTAATGTACATTTGATCTTGACCTGTACAAATTTGTAAAAGTAGGGGTGCAACAGATCGTAGCATAGCCCGCCCCTTTTTATTCGGCTGTGAGATTTACTGATTTTGAATTATGCTTGATACCAAGTAATGGTCATCGATTAATTCAACGTTCATTTTATTTCTTCATTAACAGGAGATCAATGAATGCGACTCAGATCCGTGTCAGTTCAACGCTGTCTGTACAGATCTCTTGGCTGATTATAGATGTAACTGCCCAGCTGGTACACGAGGTAACAATATATACATCTACAGTTGATCATTTGTAAAATTCTAGTTAGCGACCTACGGGTTTTTTAATTTTAGAATACATATCTTAAGATTTAACAAAAAAGAAGAAGTAAAACAAAACAAAACTATAAGTTAATATCAGGTACGATGCTGTTCTAACATACTCAAAATGCTTTCAAAATTAATTTTGCAGGTAAGAACTGCGACGACATAAACGAGTGTTCTTCAGACCCCTGTGAACACGGAGGCACGTGCGAGAATAAACTCAACCATTATCAATGTGATTGTCCAAGAGAGTATAGCGGTGCCAACTGTGAATTCGAGATAGACTTCTGTGTCTCTGACCCCTGTCAAAATGGTGCAACATGCCTGGGTGAAAATGACATTGGCGTCCTGGAGTGTGTATGTGCTCCAGGTTACAACGGTGATTTCTGTGATGCAGATATCGATGAATGTATCGGAGTGGACTGTCTGAATAATGGCACCTGTCAAGATGGTGTTAATGAATTTACGTGTAATTGCACAGAGGGGTATGGAGGAACCTACTGTAAGTTAGATATTCGAGATGAGTGTGCATCCAGCCCATGTCAGAACAACGCGTCATGCGTAGATATGGTTGGTGGATATGTTTGTGTATGTCGAGCTGGCTTTCAAAGTGATAACTGTGAGAAGGATGTCAATGAGTGCGATCCCGATCCTTGTTCTTATGGTAACTGCACAGATCAAGTCGGACGATACACATGCGACTGTTGGCCTGGCTACTCTGGAGAGAACTGTACAGTGAACATAGACGAATGTGTGGATAACATGTGCCAGAAAAATTCAACTTGTCAAGACGGAGTGAATAACTACACATGTAGTTGCATGTCAGGGTATACCGGTGTCTACTGTGACACTGAGATTGATGAGTGCTCAAGCTCTCCATGTCAGAATGGCGGAAGGTGTGAGGACAGTCTCGACAGTTTCACGTGCCAATGTGCGTCGACCGGATACCGAAGTCTACTATGTGAAATCGACATTGATGAATGCCAGGATGAACAAGCGTGTCCATCCAACAAGAGATGTGCCAATGTAAATGGGAGCTACGATTGCAACACCAAACCTCCGGAACCGACTCCCATTCCAGGACTGTGTCGTACCAGTGTGTGCTATAATGAAGGAACATGTCAGATCATCAATGGTAGCTACCAGTAAGTCGCTTGGGTCGCGGTGGTGCATATGGGTAAAGACCAGTGGCGGATCAGGGGGGCGAGTGGTCCGGGCCCCCCTCCCCCTGGGAAAAAAAAGAAGGAAAAAAAAAGAGAAAAAAGAGAGAGAGAGAGAGAGAGAGAAGGAAAAGAAGGGAAAGAGGAGAGAAAGGGAAAGAAAGAAGAGAAAGAAGAAAAGAAAAGGGGGAAGAAGTGATCGGGGGGGGGGGGGGGGGGGCGAAAGCGCCTCGCCTCCCAGGCTGTCGCCTCCCCCTCCCCATAAGAGAGAAGGACGGAAATGGAAAGAAGGGGGTATCAGATGCAATCTTTTCCGCCAACAAGTTGTGGATCGGGGTGGGGTGGGGCAAAAGGCCCTTGCCTCCCCCGCCCCGCTAAAAAAAAGAGAGAAAGAAGGAAAAGGAAAAAAGGAGAGCTAAAAGGGACCGACAAAACAAGGTGAAAAGAAGTGGAAATAGATCATTTGCAGTTAATCCCGCCAACAACGTGTGGAGAAGGGTGGGGGCTGAAATGACCTTGCCTCCCCCTCCCCCCCATCAAACCTAAAAGAGAGAGAAGGAAGGGAAGGGAAAGAGGAGAGAACGGGAAAGAAAAAAAAGAGAAATAAGAGAGGTAGGGGAGATCAGTTACGATTTTTCCGCCAACAAAGTGTAGATCGGGGGGGGGGGGGAGGAGGGGGTGGGGCACTGGCGTATTGATCGGGGAAGGGGCTCGGGGAAAATAAAATTTAAACGTGGTTTATTTTTAATTCCATAACGGTGGTTTACACATAATGCTGAAATGACATAATTTTCAGAGATTTTTCCTCATTCTTTAGTAAATTATACTTTTTTATGCGTTTGTAAATTAACAGACAGGCAAGAAATACCGTATGCTTCTTGAGATGCTTACATGTCAGGGCCCCGGAACGGCGGGGATCGGGAGCATCCAGCTCCCCCCAAAGACAAATAGAAAGAAAGAGAGCAAGAAAGAAAGAATAGTTAACTGCCAGTGTCAGAACAAAATAATGTATCAAAAAAATCTCATCTGACCGTAATTAAACGCCTAAAACACCTGAGCTTCCGGGGGCTCTGCCCCCGGGACCCAACTAAGGTCCCTTAGGCAGGCCCCTTAATATTCATCTGACCGCAAGTTAGTGCATTAAACCCTTGATCTTCTGGGGTCTCCGCCCGTTGGACCTCACGCCAATCTGTGTCCTGCCAGTGTCACAAATAAAGTATAAAAATATGTTCATCAGATCGTAATCAAATGCCTAAACCCGTGAGCTTCCGGGGGCTCTGCCCCCTGCACCCCACTGGATGCTAATCTGACGGTAATGTAATGTCTAAACCCCCTGAGCTTCTGGGGACTCCGCCCGCTGGACCTCACGCCAATCAGTGTCCTGCCAGTGTCACAAAAAAGGTATACAAATATGTTCATCTGACCGTAATCAAATGCCTGAAACCCCTGAGATTCAGGGGTTTCCACACCCTCGACCCCACCATGGGCCCTGAGGCGGGCCACTGAATGCTTATCTGACCGTAATTTGCCTTCGACCCATGAGTTTCCGGGGGCGGACAAGGTATCAAAAGATGTTCTTCTGACCGCAAGCGCGTAGCCAGGGGGGCAGTGGGGGCGCCCCCCCCAAAAAAAAAAAAGAGAGGAGAGAAAAGGAGGAGGACGTAGGAAGAAAAAGGAGCAGACAAAAAGCATTTTTGAAATTCAGACAAGGATTAAGAGTCGAAAATGGTACAACGAATCGTCTTCTTTCTCTAATGATTTAATGAAACGTAAAAGCTTCCGCGCTTAGCACGGGAGGGGGGGAACTGTATTCAGACGAGCAGGCGCGTACGCAGGGGGGGGGGGGGGGGAGTTGAACCCCCCCGCTTCGTTTTTTTTTATGTGTGTATTTTGGAGCAAACCACTCCCCCTTTTGTGATGTTTTTTTTGTTCTTTTGTTCTTTCTTTTACATTAAAAAAAAAAAAATTATGCCAATGGCTGACCTAAAAAAGGTGACTTCTCCCTCCCCCCCAACGGAACTAAACTTCAAATTTTCAAATTTCGAGACCCCACCTAAAAAATAAAATGTCCTTTTGCCTGCTAGTAAGTACAGTAAAAGGAATATAATAATTAACATTTCATAGAAAAATTACATTTTTTTCACCAAACTTCAACAATGTTACCGAGGCACTTTAAAGCTGTATGTTCCTTGGTGATGGAATCACATATTCACTTCTCTTGACTATTCGGTTCGTGGAGCCTATGTTTTCGTATCCTGATATACATTCATGTTTGTAGGTATACATATATATTATGTATATTATGTAAGAAATTTACAGTACCTTTGGAAATCAATGTTTGCAAACGTAAAATTGTGATAATATTCCTTGTACCATTTCTGCGCTGTCTTCTCTCCAGATGCGTATGTACAGATGACTTTTCAGGCGAGCTTTGTGAGACTCCCACAGAGCCATGTTCTTCTAGCCCATGCCAGAACGATGGAAACTGCCATTTCGTAACTGCGGGGGATGGGTCCGTCTATTACATTTGCCAATGCTTAGAAGATTATGCAGGAATCAACTGTGAACTACGTGAGTATGGTTAATTGAATTAATATTTCTAATGTTATCGTGAAGTAAGACACAAAGGGTAAACGGAGATAAAATAATTCAAATAACAAGAAAGTTAAAGGGCATTTATGTAAAATTGGAAATGATAAAGGTAGGTGGATATGTTAATCTTTGATTTATTAAATCATTGTAGCAAAGTTATGACTTTTTAAAATATCAGATCAATATCAAGTCTTTGCGAATCTTAGATAGGAAGGATGTGTAATTTGAGTTCATACATGAAGTGCATCAATAAGATCAGATAATCACCCGTAATTAGGTAGCTTGTTAGATGATAAACCTCTCAGAGCCCGTCTGCACTAATTTGGACAGGGGGATTAGACCTCCCTGCAAGGTCACTTACAGATGGTTATCTCATTAAATCAGCTCTTAATTTACATAAGAAAAGGGGGACCATCGGGGACCAACATACACCGATTAGGCATTGTTTGCTATATAGAGGGCGCAAGTAGCTATACGTAGTGCAGTGGGGTTTTAACCAAAAAAATTACCCTACGAAAATCGTTGTTATTTTTCTATTGAATTTTCAGCGCTTCCGATGGGAATAGCTTCGGTAAGAGCACAAGTTTCCTTATTTCAAGAATGTGTAGTTTCCGTTGTTTGTAATATCGATGCTGTTTAACCCTAAATCTGATTTTTTTCCCCCCTCTCTCCCCCTCTCTCTCTCCTTTTTAAATTTTGTTTACACTTGTTTACAAAAGGTATCTGATTTGCGTAATGTATACCAATGACATGCAGTTACTGCGTTTTGTTACTTGACGATGGCAAGTAGTTGAGATTAAAAATCTTGAATGCGTTTGAATACGTTGATGTGCACCGGTATATGTAAGACCTTTCCATTTTCGTTGTCATAATGCAAAATATTCCCATTCTCTAAGGAGAAAAAAATAATAATACAAAAAAAAAGAAGATTGGAAAAGGGACATGCAATGACGAACTCATATTTACATGATATTGTGATGACTTTTATCAATTGCTTTTCGTGTTATCTTTTATTTATGCTCAATAATTGATAGTATAAATGTTATTGTCGCTGGTAAATTAAGGTCAATGGATAGAAGTCAACAACAACATTATAGTTCAATTCAATTTTCTTTCAGGAAGGAGTCTTCGCCCACTTGGAATTCGTACTGATTGCACTACTTTTCGTTATAATCATCCTATTTGGCATTTGTGTCATCAAAGTCCGCAGGTATGTTCAATTTGTAAATAATCCATGGTGTATATTTGCGTTGTTGAAATGCCTGAATTATTTAAACAGCCTTCAGTGGGGAAAAGCACACTTTTTGAAAGTCTGTGTGACATAAAGTACATTACTTTTTTAAATCCCAGTGCCATGCAAACATTGTACACTTGGGTAATTCATTCCTTAATTTAAGCCGTGTCATGTTAAACTAGTATTGATCATGGTCTGTATATAGAGATCACCGTATCCATATATTTAGGATACATAACAAGAAGAGATAAAGATACACTTTTAGGGAGGCGATGCATTCTGAGAAGAGGTGACTTAAACGGCTGATTTGTGAAAGTCAGATTTACCTTATTTTCAATGGAAATTATGTGAATATATTAGTTTTGTAATATTTCTGCGTGATTGATATTTCGGGATAGGAGAAAGAAATTGGCGACAGCGACATCGATGCCGACGACACACGATGCTACTACAGCAGCTACTACAGCAGACCCACCCCATCCACCAAACATACCCATGAACAACTTAGTCAGTCAACCAATAAATGGCAGCCTACCGCCGACCGCTTCACCAGGTACAAGTACAACAATTGATAACAATTTTATGTGTCTGGGTTGAGTGAAAGACGTTAATTTGAAGGCATATGCATATACAGTAGTTCATGACCAAGGTAATTTCATATGTTTTCCTTTCGAATGTCACTGATGCATTTTGTAAATATGACTTTTGGTAGATATTTTAATCAGTTACCAAACATGTGATGGAAATAGTTCTTGAAGCAGTCGAGCGCTTACAATCACGTGATACTAATATTGTAACGACTTTTATGATTGCTTGTATTAGAGAATTATGTTTAATAATTTCTGGTTCAGAATTTTGATTTAGGGAGTCAAGGGGAGGCCAAAGTATATTTTTATAGATATCGATATTATAATGATAAACTACGTACAGTACTAAATATATATATATATATATATATATATATATTAAATCATAAACGATAATTGTCTTTGCAAATTTCTAAGTGGAGTCCAGTTCGATATGCCTTTTTTCACAAGAGGTCAAAATAAAAACGTACTTGCTTTAAAAATTTGAACTCTGTAGATTTGATAACGAATTACAAGCGTCAATGAATCATCCTCATAATAATAATAATAATGAACATTTATAATGCGCCATGTCTGTCAAAAATGACACTCCTGGCGCAGTTGTGTGGAAATTGTATAATTGTGGGCATACGACCATAAAGTAATTTTCCATGCATGTATAAAGTGATCGTAAGGCTTTTTTATTATTCCAACATGCAACTGTAATTATATGTAATCTAAGAATAAAAATATTTTATAACTGGAAAACGTTCAATGCAGTATAATTCCACTATCTAAAGGGATCAAAGAACCCACTTCAATACAGCTTGCTTACATAACATGGCTATGATTAATTCTCGATTATGATGTCTTGTCTCCCTTGATTTGCTTCACACAATTATCTTTTGTCTTTATCGTATTGCTTGCATGGTTTGCAGAATCTTCCTCATGATATACAAATGTTACTTTCATTTCTCTTTGTTTCACATCTTACGATTCTGCATTTAAAGGTAATGTTGAGTTCTGGTGATGATGGATATAAAATGTTAAGGATCAAAGCAAACATAAAGTGTGTCACATGAGAATTAAGAATGATGTTACCCTGGTAAGGGTGAGTTTTTCCTTTGGTGTTTGGAATTCAGTTACACCAGTTACACCATGAATAAAGACATTAAAAGAAAGAGATGCGATGAAATTGGCAACAATAGTCAAATTTGACTAATAGCCATTATATAATACCAAACGAACAACAACCTCTTTGAGCCGAGACCTAAAACCAGTAAGACTAATTGTCGTTTTTGCGTGACAATTTATGGCGACCTTGCCAGGACCAAAGTTTTAGGTCTCGTATGTTATATCACATTTTGTTGGTTAAATATCCGTTACACTGTATGTGTAGGTTTCGTTTTGAAAGAGAGACGGATGTTAGCAAAAAGAGTGATTTTGCGGTTCGGTGTGGTGTGTCTCTCTCGCCACGGTTTCAGCAGTGCGTGTACCGTCAATAGACGTACAGTATTTGCGGTGGGTGATTTGCGTCGGTATACGGGATTGTGTGTAGATTGTTATTCAGATTTCAGGTATGCGTGTTATGTGCATGTGTGTCCGTAGGCATTGTGTATTGCAGCGGTGTATACAGGTTTGTGTGCGAGGGCTGTACTTGGTTTCAATGACCTGAATTGGACATGGTATTGGATTTAGCTATGTGTGAGCATGAGTTAATCCAGGTTGGATGCACAGGGATACTTTTTGTCATACTTTGACTTTGAGACAGGTCTTGATATTGCATGTCTATCTTAATTAAGACAAATGGTGGATAGTTTTTCACGGGTTCTTGTCTTGGGAATTAAGCTAGACCTCTACAACAAGAGTCTTGATGGTTGTCAGTGTTTTCTTGAATAGATTCTACGGGGATTGTTCCGTACCTGTTGATACCCAGTTGTGATTTCGAATACAGTTGCATAATGGCCAGTATAGATCAGATAAAAGAGTTCTCAACCCGTCGGGAGATGAGCCTTGCGGGTAGTGAGCTTAACAAGTTCGTTTCCGAGCGCTGCGCCGAAGTGTTGAGAGTAAAAGAGCTAGAATGTGATCGCGAAGAGCGCGAAAAAGAAGTGAAGCTAGCCGAGCTTCGGGTCGAGGAGAGAAAGACTGCCGGTGTAGATTCGGGTGGTTTGAGGTTGAAAATTGGTAAATTTGATGACACATGTGATAAATTTGATGCATACATTACCAAATTCGAATTAGTCATGGCTAGTCAAAAGGTACCTGACAGTGTAAGAGCCTTACACCTTATTTCTTAATTGACAGGGCAGGCTTTAGAGGTAGTGAATAGAATGTCAAGGGAAACTCGCAATGATTACGAGGCAGTAAAGCGAGAGTTGACGGAGTTCTATTATTTGACCGCCGATGGTTATAGGAGAAAATTTCGTACAGCAAAGCCAGAAAAGCATGAACAGCCTAGGCAATTCAGTGTACGATTGAAGGGTTACTTGCAGAATTGGATTGAGTTATCAAACATTGAAGAGAATTATGACTCCCTGTTTGATTTAATTCTAAGAGAACAGTTTGTGTATTGTTGCCCAAGGGAAGTTGAAGTGTTTGTTAGAGAGGGGCAGGATAGTAGCATTGATAAGGTTGTTGAAAGGGCTATGGTTTAGGTAGGAGCCCATGGATTACATACATTCGGTACACCCCGAAATCCAGGTGAATTCAAACCAACGTCTACAGGTACACAGGGTAGTGTTGGTCCCACTCGGCCAAGTGTCCCCAAGGGTAAGGGTTTTGACTTGCGTACACCAAGTAGTAAGGGTGCAAGAGCACATGATGCAGGCAATCGTTCTGCTAGAGGTTAATGTTATATGTGTGGTAGCCAGGGGCACCTTAAGAGCGAATGTCCGTTGCGCAAACAAATACAGTCAGCGCAAGGAATGATGACTTTGGATTGGACAGATTTCCCCACCCAAGGAGTAGACGGTAATGACAGTTCTCAGTTAGTCGCGAATGGTGTTGAGGATACAGGAGATAGTATCGGCACATTGAAGTCTGTGGATAGTTCACCACATGTAAATACAGTGCATCTTGGACTAGCTAGTATCTGTTTACTACCAGTAGAAGCAAATGGATTGAATTCATTAGAGCAGGCAAGACAAAGCATTGTGAATAAGTTAGGCATGGCTTATGATCTGGTAGGGGCTATGACGAAGCATATGCCCGTAGTTCAGGTAGGCTGGAAAAAGGGAACAATTAAAGCAGTATCAGTTTTGAGAGATTGTGGGTGCACTACTTGTGTAGTTAAATCGGAACTAGTCAATGAAGATCAGCTGACAGGGTACAAGCAGTTGGTTTTGCTCATTGATGGTACAGTAAGGGAGTTCTCAGTTGCGAGGCTGACTGTTGATTCTCCATACTTTGTGGGTGAGATAGAGGCTTTGTGTATGCCTCATTCACTATTTGATGTTGTTATTGGGGATATAACTGGTGCACGTGAACCCCGCGATCCAGATTTGAACTGGGTACCTAAAGGAGGTAAAGTAGTAAGTGACGATGCAGACCAGGTGAATAGTGATGGTGAGAATACCATTGGTGATGTCAAGGACACTAGTGAAGTGCAGGTTGTGGATGGAGTTGAGCAGGTTGCAAATATCTCTGGTGTGAAAGAGGATAGTCCACGGGTGATGGCAGTTGAAACTCGATCTCAGAAGGAGGTCAAGGTCAAACCGCTCAAGGGTTTGAAAACTGGAAGTCCCATTTCCTGCATAGAGCCTGCAAGTTTTGTTCGTGAACAGAAGGAAGATTCATCTTTGAGTTCATTGTGGAACAAAGTAGGTAGGGAGGAGGTTAACTTGCCAGTGGATGGCTGTGTTCATATGTGTACAGAGAGTAGCGAAGTGTGTGAAGATTCAGAGGAAGATGTTGAGGTTCAGATCAGTGATGTTGATAGTACTGAAGTGACAGTGATGCCATCCATACATGAGAAGGAATTCATAAAGCATGTCAGGGTGAATGAGTCCTTGGAAGAGAGTCGTATGAAAGGGATATCTCAGTCATTGCGCGAGTATCATGAGGTCTTTTCTGATGTACCATAGAAGACAAAAGCTGCAGAGTGCAAGTTGTTTTTGACACGATTAATGAACCAGTACGTTCACCTCCACACAAAGTGCCCAATTGATAAGGCATCTGACTAAGAATCATGAGATGGAGCATGAGGCTCCAAGAGTACATGTTTAGAATGTAAAGGGTCAGGATAGGGTTGCAGCAAATGGTATGAGGAAAGTGTAAAAGGCTCTACACATGTGTTTATTTTGGTCTGCGTACCATTGTAAATGATTGAATATGTGTATTATGTATCATGGGTTAACACAGTTTATTAATGTCATTTTGTTGGATACACATTGCATTTAATAAGATTATGTAATATCTATGATGTTAGCACGAGATAGCAAGAGCTTTGTAGACATCATTTGTTTATTTTCTCGTAATTTTTTCGAGCATAGTTTATGGACCTTGGAAATGTAACATATACGATTTAGTACGATAAAATCTTGTCTGTTTAAAGCAGCTATTTTATATTGATCTTGCAAACTACAAATGTATGTACCATCAAACTGTACATGATAGTGCATACACATTAATTTATTATCATGGCTATTTGTTTCGTATAAATGCATTACTCAAAGTTGATATTAAGAAGAAATATTACAACAGTATTACTTGCATTTTAGTTAATGCAAACGCAGGAATGTTACTGCATTTTAAACCATGCCAATGAATATTTTTAACGATGTCTATGTATGATAATCGTTATGAATGTTAGTGCTGGAGCTATATCATTGTGGACATTATAACAGATTTAGATGTGAGTTTTGCCATAGTTAGATTTGGACTTCTGCTGGTGGTCATCTTTAAAAGTCTTCAGGGATCACAAAGCTTGGATTCAGACGACAAACAATGACCGAGATGATGTCCCATTACGAGGAATACTCCTTGTTACTGCAGAGACTATGTTTACAGCATACGGGTTTACTAAAAAGTCACAATTTGGACTGATAATTTGGATCACATAAAGAGACTGGTGATACTTATTGTTTACAGCATATGTGGTTACTCACAACTTGGATTGATCAATTGGATCACAGAGAGAAACTGATGATACTTATTGGAAAGCCTTAAAGACAATTTAATGATTTTTGTGCAGTAAACATTGAAAAGTTTGATTTTCAAATTTTCATGAGATATTTATTTGCCAATAATTCTAGGTTTTGTGTAGAATAT